CATCAAGATTCCAAAGAAAGGAGATCTGAGCAAGTGTGAAAGCTACAGAGGCATTACACTACTGTCAATACCGGGTAAAGTCTTCAACAGAGTGTTACTGAACAGGATGAAAGACGCAGTTGAAGCTCAACTTCGAGATCAACAAGCTGGATTCCGTGAGGACCGGTCGTGCACAGACCAGATTGCGACACTACGGATCATCGTCGAACAATCAATTGAGTGGAACTCGTCACTCTACATCAACTTCATTGATTATGAGAAGGCATTTGACAGTGTAGATAGGAGGACGTTATGGAAACTTCTTCGACACTACGGAGTTCCTGAGAAGATTGTCAACATTATCCGGAACTCATACGACGGACTACAGTGCAAAGTAGTGCATGGAGGACAGCTGACAGACGCATTCCAAGTAAGGACCGGAGTAAGACAAGGCTGTCTACTCTCTCCCTTCCTGTTTCTTCTGGTGGTCGACTGGATTATGAAGACCTCGACATCTGAGAGAAACTACGGCATACGATGGACAGCTCAGAACCAATTAGACGACTTGGACTTCGCAGATGACCTAGCCCTCCTATCACATACACACGAACAAATGCAGATAAAGACAGCCAGCATAGCAGCAGTCTCTGCATCAGTAGGCCTCAACATAAACAAAGGGAAAACCAAGGTCCTCAAACACAACACGGAGAACAGCAATCCAATCACTCTTGATGGCGAAACTCTGGAAGACGTGGAATCCTTCACATACCTGGGAAGCACCGTCGATAAACAAGGAGGTTTCAGATGCAGACGTCAAGGCGAGGATTGGCAAAGCTAGAGCGGCATTCCTTCAACTGAAGAACATATGGAACTCAAAACAACTTTCAACCAATATCAAAGTCAGAATCTTCAATACGAACGTCAAGGCAGTTCTACTGTACGGAGCTGAAACTTGGAGAACTACAACAACCACCATCAAGAAGGTACAGGTATTTATTAATAGCTGTCTACGCATGATACTCAACATCCATTGGCCGGATACCATCAGCAACAGCCTTTTGTGGGAGAGAACCAACCAGCTTCCAGCTGAAGAGGAAATTAGGAAAAGACGATGGAAATGGATAGGACATACATTGAGGAAATCATCAAACTGCATTACGAGACAAGCGCTAACTTGGAATCCTGAAGGGAAGCGGAAAAGAGGAAGGCCAAAGAACACATCACGTCAAGAAATAGAAGCAGATATGAAAAAGATGAATAAGAACTGGAAAGAGCTTGAAAGGATTGCCCAGGACAGGGTTGGATGGAGAATGCTGGTGAGCGGCCTATGCTCCTTCACGAGGAGTAACAGGCGTAAGTAAGTAAGTAAGTAAGTAAGCAATCATCGCTACCATTGGAAGAAAATCAAGTATATGTTGTTAAACAGAACTACGTCGGAGAAAAATAAACTTGCGAGAACTAAATAATTCACAGAACACACAGCTTTATAATTTATTATTCATACAATATACTATGCAGAATCTTTTAAAACAATTCAAGTCTCAAAATACCTTACGAAATGAAACTGTACGAAAAGTACAACTTACTTAATATCGCTTTTTCCAAGGACTTGAATATCATTAAAGTCTTCCTTGATTAAAGCGGTAGTTAATGGGTGGCATGCAATTTCCGGAACATCAAAAATAACCTACGAGTCACTAACAGTCAAACTGAATACCTTGTTGGCCTTCGCAAGAGCCTCCAGAGGATCACTTGACTCCAAAAATTTAGATAGTGGAAGCTCATGATACAATGTATCTCCCTCATCATAACCTTCAGCCTTCCTTCAAACGATAGCTGTTAGCTGTGTCGAAATTACAGTAGCAGACAATATCAAAAGAAAAACGAGAAACCCCTGAAATCTTAGTTTTTATAATAAAGCAAATGTTTAGTGAATACAATTGAGTAACTTATTCAAGTATTAATAAAATGCGATTTTAACAATAAATAAATTGGATGTCATCATTTTATGTAAATACATAAAACATACAATAACTAGTAGACATAATACTCAATGCGCTTAAAAGGACTGAGGATAAACTTTAATCTCGTTCACAATTTTAGCATTGCACCTAACAAACAACAAAATTGAAGCGGGGATCATCATTAATGCTGTCGTAGAGCATGTTTTGTTCTTTGTCATTTTTGCTGTCTTGCGTGAAAAATCTAAAGTTTTCTATGACGAAAATGCCACTCCATGCTACGGTGTCAAGTGTAGTGCAGTCATTCATGATACAAGAATACTGCAACACAGCAAAATTCATACCTCCAACTAATTCTGTAATGGAAGCTGTTCCAAAACATCTACAAGTGAGTGACCAAATAAACTAAAACATAACTGTAGTTACTGACTACTATACACTTAGATAACGACGTGCGGTTTATCTCCTGCCCTCAAAAGTTATTAAAAATAAGACTGATCACTGAGAATTAGTAAGTATTATAACACAATATACAGAAGAGAAACGAAAAAAAGAATACATATATGACAATTACAATATTAGTAAAAGGTAGCGAAAGTTCTACAGATTTTATGCAAATGACAGAACAGGCATAATATCATTAAGTTCACACTAAATTATAGTATTAATATAGTATGATAATTTAAATATTTCGTTACAATAATTAGAATCACCAAATGAAACGATATCAGAAACATTCAAGTATAAAATGATGAAGATATAGTAGATAATATTGAATAAGGTAATTTTCCAAATAAAAAATCAACGAAATAAAAGGTTAATTACTGATTGTTTTGTGCAAAGAAGGCTATCTTATCCTTATCTTTAACGTGGTCTCACAACATAAATAAAATATTTGTAGTATCCTTCACAACGTTATGATTATCATATTTTCATTTAATTGATTTTGTATTTGAAAAGTTTTCCCGCATTCTTGTACATCATATCATATATAATGTTTCAAACTATGGAAGTGCAACAAAAGTCCAAAATGAAAGCTCATTCAAACTACTATTATTGGGAACATTAACAATAAGTTTCAGCCTTGTGCATTAAGTCCAGAATTTTGTATAAAATGTGTATTTTATTAAATAAGTGTACTGAAGAGCACCCATTGGTGAACGTAGTTCTGTAAGATGGTACATTCGTCAGAAGATGTAGTCGCTTCACATCTGGTTTAAAACCGATACCGTCAACTAAGTGTCCAAGAGATTCAAAATCAGATACACAAAATGGACACTTATTCGAACTCTCCGTAATATTCTTCTTTATTAAACAACTCAATAAAGCCATAAGTCTCAGAACAATGAGATCATCTTGATAAATTCAACACCTTCAAGATAACCTTATCACCTACTAATTTTGGGGATTTTTTTTACCTATATGCACCGAAACTGGTACAAGTGAGGATTTCTTATACCCAAAACACGACAAATGTAATCGGAAATACAATCGATATATACAATGGTTTATCCATTTTGAATATTAAGTAGAATGAAATCACATATTTAAGAAAATCCCCAGAGCTATAATAAGTCACATACTGCATATCATGCTGAGCATAGTTCATAGTATATCGTGTCTTGAATTAATATCACACTCAATGTTATTCTAAATAAAATACCACACTGAAAAACAAACAAATACTCTCTGAATAAACATCATATGAAATTAAAATAAGGGAACAATGCTGAACGAAAATCACAATGAGTAAAAGTGATGCGACCTCGCTTTTTTATGGCGTCATATCATTAAGAAAGGATTGAACACCCTGTACTTAAAGTTTTATAGGCCAAATTCTAATCCCTCCAGTCCTCATTGCACACAGCTATCAAACCTTTAAGTAAAGCACCAGAATCTTCTGCAGCAGCTAATCAAGGCAATGTAAGTTAGGCCTTTTCAAATTATTTGATCTCAGTACTAACATCCTGTTTCATTAAATAGAAACCTACAAATCATGTATGAGGAATTATAATCAATAACTAACTATTTGAATAAATAGACTTTGTGCTCCCTGTGTCAGCAAAAGTCATGGAACAAACGAAGAGAGGTATATGGTCGCTTATGGATGTGGGGAACGCCCTTCGAAGTTGCAGATTATCATAATATATGATGGTTAAAAACACTCAGTTATAGTACAAACTAGGAATCCTACAAATAACACATCACCATCAGTCAGTAAAAACACCACAAACCGGGAAACAGATAGGTCCCACTGTCATTAGAAATTTCCACTATCGTTTTTCGTTAAACCAGAAACCTTAATTCCCAATTCTGGAGGAGCACTATGAGTTTGTTATCCATCGGATAGTTCGGAAAACTAGTCCCACGAAACTCTATGTAGCATTGACACTACTAAGTAACTGGATCCTCAAAAACAGTTGTCTATTTTTTTCAGGTCAAATGATCTCAACAATGTGAAAAGAAACTGGCTTTGTCAGTAACGTCCCTTAGCAAACTCCGTTTATTAGCATTCTGGTGGCAGCTACAATACCATATTTGGTCCACGTTGTACAATAGTAAATGCACTATAAATAAAAATAACATACCTTAAAAGCGAGTCACTAAATCAAGAACTTAAAAATATCACGTGATCGATGAACAACGCGGTTGGACATCTATTTCATAAAAATTAGGTTATTAGCCGATTTGTATGGTTGCATCGTCCGTGTACTAACACCGTTAAGTAGTACAAATCCTGTCCAAATGGCAATACAGATGTTCAAACGATCACATACAGTCAAGATATAACATACACCAAGTAAAAACACTGAAATCATTTGCATCGGCCGGAATGAATTTTTAATATGGGGATGAATCTTACTGAAACGAATTAGATAAACTGATAAAATTATAAATTCGGTGATAACACGTGAGGTACCAAGAGAAAACGCAGCAATATGTATGAAAAATTCCTATTCGTAGAGGAATCACGTCAGGAAAATATTGTGATTCAGATTGCCAAACAACAAAACTAGTTAATAACATTCTGTTCACATTCATGAGAGACGTAAAACTAGCCTGAAGATCCCTTGGACCACTTGACCACCTTCCTTTCGTAAACGAATTGATTAATTGGTTCCTTTGATTCAATAGGTAAAGTGGCCAAGTAAAAAGGTGTATCAGCACCTAAAGTAATAAACACAACAAAAACTTAATATTAATCAAGTGCAAATCACTGATAAATAAAATTCCTCAAATCATACAAATAAGATAATGACCAAAGGAAACTTAAGAGGCATACTGTTATTTTTCGTTATGCTTGGAAATATCCTGAAAAATATCTTCCGATAGAAGCTGTGGGAAGATGCATGAGTTACAATTTTGAAACTTGCGCAACTGACAGCCAATTTCAACATGAAGTGTTGTAGCTAGATTGTTGTGAAAGAGTTTCGTAGACGAAAGTATACGAATCCATAGAATGTTGAATAGTTCTGTGATGCACAGTACAGCAAACTAAAGTATTTTATGAATATCAATACACAAATGTTTGTATGTGTGTATCGACAGTTCTCTAACTGTCCTTTTTACTGATTCATTTGTCAACAAAATAATTGATACATATAAGAAACGTGTTAACCAATTACCGAGACGGGATGGCTGAAGAGCGATTTACATGTCGATTCTATTACTAGAGAAACAATATTAATTGCATATCTCTTATGTAATTCAAACTGCCTACATGCAGATATTAGTAACATTTCATTTAATTACTTCAACGACTTTAAAGATTGTGAAAAAATGTTTTAATAATGTTATTCCATTCGCACCACAACCCAATATTAGCTAATTAAACTTCATACCTCCGACCACAATTCACCTAGACCCTTCTCCCATCGATTAAAAGCGTCGTTTTATCCGGTCAATGAAATGCTTATTATAGTACCCATAAAGGCGAAATTTCATTAGTTTCTGTGCCATTCTTTTCAGATACATGGCTGCCTAAACTTGTTGCATGTTGTTTAGTCCTCTTAACTTTTGATAAGTGTTTTACGCTAAGCAGCATAAATCCTGAACCACTTTCTTTTGATAAACAGTTATCTGGACAAATGCTATATCTCGAAAACAGAACTTACTAGATTGAGTATGGGCACTCCGGATACCATTGTAAATATCTGGCTTTATAGGGTCCTTTGAGTGACACTTATTGACTTTACCTTCCAAATCGCTCATGGATTAAGACTTTCAAATAAGTAAAACTGGATCAGTGAAACAGACCGCAGCAATTAATTGCTTCGGTCAGTTTTGACTGATATTGAAGAGAATATGCTTTTTAATGAATGATTTTTAGACAAATAATGGATCTGAAACATATTTCCCTTAGGATAACTAACAAAACCACTGGCAGCGAACATGAAGCAGTCAAGCCACCCGCCACTTTAATTTTGATTGTTGTACTCGAGTTTTATTGTCTGTTGTACATTCAAACAAACTACTGAGATATCAAAAATAGTGTCAAGTAGGTGATAATTGAAGAATACACAATTTTTAATCTGTGTTCAATTTTTTATGATCTCTTGTTGAAGGTATTTATTTGTACGATGTTTTGAGTCAATACTGTGAAGACACAGTTGCTTTATGATGAATAATCGAGTTTAAACCATATGATTTTTCTCTCTCGATTTCTTAATCTTGTGTGAAAGTTTCATGGTTTCTGTGCCTAGTAAAGTTCGTCTGGCTAATTTTCCGAAGTAGTTCGATCTATGGGCAATTTCCGATTCACATTCAGGTTTGTTTTTAATAAGGACATAAGGCCCACGGCCTATGTTATTCCTTTTCTAGTATGCTTCTGTGCGTGTCCAGACTTCTCTTGAAAGATTCAGTTGAAGTTGCGGACACCACTGCTTCGGGCAGTAGGTTCCAAGTATTGGTGACTCGGTGTGAGGACCTGTATGCCACGGGTATTTTGTTCGTTCTTGGCTTTTCTACTCGCCTGTTATGTCCTCTGAGATGTCCCGATCTAGTGGGAAGAAAAAGAGAGAGTAAGTTAGGTCCAAAATCATTTCTCAGTATTCTGTACATCAAAATTAAATCTCCCCTTAATATGCCATAGGACAGTCTGAAGAGATCTAGCTTTTCAAGCCGCTCTTTGTATGGTAAATCCCGGAGTTCTGGAATTACACGGGCAGCTGCCCTCTGTACTTTTTCTAGAATATCCGAGTCACCTTCTAAACACGGGCTTGCAGCCTCAACGCAGTTCTCAAGCTTAGTTCTCACTAAGGACGTGTATATTTGGTGAGCATGTTAGTATCTAACTTAGTTTCAAAACCCACTAGCTGCGACCTCCCAGCAATGGTTCATCGTTTTAAGATCATGACTTACTGCCACCCCCAGATCCTCATGAGACCGAACCACTGGTAATTGCACTTCCCCTATGTTATACCTATTAACATTTGAGTCCCCGAAGTGCATGTAGACACACTTTGCCGCTTTGATAGGCATCAGCCACTCTTTAGACCAGTTAATCATATTATTTAGGTCTGCTTGAAAAGCATCTGAGTCTGTGTCTCCAGTTATTACTCGCCAGATCTATACATTGTCGGCGTATAATAACATTAGAGACTGTACTTTACTTGGAAGATCATTGACATACATTATAAAAAATAAAGGACCTAGGACGGAACCTTGAGGTACTCCACTAAGTACTGGTCTCCATATGGAGCACTTGGAATTTATTCTTACCTTCTGTCTACGACCTACTAGGAAATCCTTAATCCATTTTAAGAGAGGTCCAGCAATACCAAGACTTTCCAACTTCAATAAGAGTCTATTTGTTGGCACCTTGTCAAAAGCCTTATTGAAGTCTATGTAGACAGTATCCACTGAGTTTCCGTTGTCTAGCGCCATTATCCAAAATTCCCTTGCTAAAAGGAGGTTTGTTGTACAGGATAGACCCTTTCTAAAACCATGTTGTTCTATGTTTAACAAGTTATTTGTTTCAATAAATTCCATTATGGTCAGTTTGACTATTCTTTCCAATATTTTAACTGCAACACTGGTGAGGCTTACAGGTCTGTAGTTCGATGGAATTTTTCTTAGTCCTGTTTCATGTATGGGAGTGACGATTGCGTCCTTCCAGTCCATAGGTAATACACCTTGATTAAGTGGCATAATGAATATCACAGTCCGTGGGGCCGCGATATATTGTGCAATATGTCTCAATATTTTAGGGTGTAGTTCATCTGATCCTGTTGACTTTTCCATGTTTAAGGTGCTAAGAGCCTTAGGCACACTGTCTTGGTCGAAGTCCACGGTGAGCAGGTGGTTTATTGACTCTTTATTTTGGTCTGGTTCTTTGTGCAAAGGAGGTTCCTGAGTGAAAACTGCCCCAAAATAGTCAGCCATAGCCTCTGCTTTTTCCTGATCTTCCTCTATCATTTCAGATTCACTCCCTTCTTTAATTAGATTTGGAATCCAATGATGCGTCCCTGTTCTGTAGTTTATGTACGAGAATATTCTCCTGGGCTGCTTGAGTGCTGATTGTGCCAACTGCATTTCATATTTTCTTTGAGCTTCTCGAATTTTTGTTATACACTTGTTTCTTACTGATCTGTAGCGTTCCATTGTACCTGCTGTGCCAAGGCGGATGGCGACATTCCAACATTTCTTCTTTCTCCTAGTAAACGTCGAATATTCCCGCTTATCCAGGGATGGCCGTGCTTCTTCTTCTTGAGGACTGTCCAGGGTATGTATAGTTGAGTTACACGGTTGTATAACTGCCTGAAATGCGTTCATGCCTCTTGTACTGATTCTACTGAGTCAATTTCCAAGTTTTCAGCCTATGCTGCGGGGTTGATTGCCTCCACATTTTCCTTCTATGTATTAGGACGGGCCGGCGCAACCGTTTAACCGGCAATTTCAGTCATGAAATTGAATAAGATGAATGCATGTTCACTTCTTAGTGGTGGGAGGAAAGTCATTTGACCAACGTCATCACCGTGTGTGAAGACTAAATCTAAAAGAGAAGAGTTTCTTAAGTCATATCTTGTGGGAGACCTAATGTGTTGGAACAAAATTAATGCAATCGAGGTTTCTAACATTTTGCAATCGAACGACGTTATCGATGACTCGACTCTAAGTTAACCCAGTTTATATACGGTGCGTTAAAGTCGCCTACTACAAGGCTTCTACCCTTGTTAGACCAGGACTAACGTTTACTTAGGAGAAAATCATCTACTACACATTCTGGACTGTGATATACTACAACTAATTCAATATCTTGCCGTCTACATTTCAGCCTACATCGCACCAATTTACATGTTCCTGAAACATGTACTACTGTCTCAGCTACTCTTATGGTTAGGGTACTTTTCGTGTACAGGGTTTCCAATGTCAATGTCAAGCGGCACTTCAATTCTCGTTAATGTTAACGGTGTTTTTACTTTTCCATTAATCACAATCGGGTGTTTAACGGGTCCGGAAATAGCACTTACTACACTGACACATTCTTCACTGTCAGTGCTCGTGGTGTCAGGACAAGCACTATCGTTTTTCTTACAGGTCAAAGCCAATAGGCTCATAGCCTCCTGGATTGGTAACTTTATTTATACAGCAAAACATACAAAGCCAATGCGAGTTCGGCTTCGAGCATCTTTTGTATGCCGTAGGACTTCGATGGGTACACATCTTATGGTACCACTTTTTAGATACACCGCACTGCATTCCTTCCTCAACGGGGAACAAGCAGTTTGGTTGTCCACATTCATAAGTCATACAAACCGTTGTAATTTGATTGAAAACGTTTAAAACACACAACGATCACAACATGAACAGGAGTGTCAGTCAATGAGTAAGCAAGAAAGGTACCACAGGACAAAGTTTAGAGAAAATTTCAAACCTTAACCAAAGTACTTTTAGTTAAAGTGGACCAAGAATGCTTTCTGTTGCAACTACTACACAAAGCAATGATAATCACAAGCAGTACAAAAATAACCCCCTTTTTGAAACGAGCGCGGTAGCGATTTTCTCATTTTATTCATTCTTATTAATCTACGCATGAGAGAAAACAAAAGGGAAAGAAATAACCTCTGAATAAAGCATTGGAGTGGACCGATGGCTTTTGTTTTACTTTGTTCTCTGGTTTCATCTGTTTTTGTGGTGCTTGTGAGAAGCACATATATGGTAATGTGGTTAGAATTAAAGTTGAGAATGTTGAAAACATCTACCTAAGGGATGATGGTTAGGTTAGTTAGGATTGCTTTCTAGTTAAAGCTGGCGAGTATTATAAATAAGCGGGGACAATTTCAATATTTCTTCTGCTGACTATCAATCATCAGAAAATATCCTAGTAGGTCAATATGATTTTTCTCTGGTAAGTCTATTTTAATAGGATGGAGGTAAACTGATTATTTCTTAGCCCATCATAGGGTTATCCGCTTTATTCTTTTACCTAAACGTGTCTATCCCCAACCCTCTGAGCTGATCTTGCGTTTCGTCACGACCAGGTGAATTCCACAACGGAATAGAAATTTATCAGTTATTATTAAAATTCAGCCAGAATATTGTTATTTATTATGATACTCGAAAACACTAACCACGAAACTCCGGCAATAAGATTTCCCAGAGTCTGAGAACGGTGCGAGAAGTGCCGAGAACAAACAGGAAGATTCAGGTTAAAATTACAAACAAATCAACTTTAAAACTTTTATAGAAAAAATATTTAGCAAATCATTTAAGAAGGGGTCAGAATTACAATTCTCGTTTCAAACGTGTTGAATACTTCAGGAATTTTTCACATAAAAGATTTTGATTCTTTTCAGTACAAGTGCACTAAAAGAAACATCATCATAGGTAATCATGTACCAACAATAAAACAGTCACGGAAAAGTGAACCTCGCGGCCTGAATTACCAGACCCAAAGCCGTACTTAAACTCGTGACCCCTAGGACCTGCAGACGTAAGCCTATGTACCAGCCTACTCACACACCATTTGCTGCCTTGAAACAACAGTTTCTTAGTGTCTTTGTAATATACTGTTTTTTATCCTCAACTCTACCTATAGGTCGAGTTATGTTTATTTTTCTGCACTAGACATGAAAGTCACTTATTTCCTTCTGAAAAACGAAAGTGTATCATCATCAAGTCACTTCACATGCTCACTTCCAAATTAGTTCATTTAGATCTGTGTTGTTTGAAGACGCACATTCCTTAGCACATAGCTTATAGAATACTTC